CGCGAGCCCGTATCGGCAGATCCAGTCCCGGTATCCCCAGAGGAGCTAGCCTGTGAAACCCTATCATCCATACCCCTTTCAAAATCAGCCATGGAAACGTACCTTGAAGTGAAGTCGGTTTGGTCCCCCACCACGCCTATTTATAGCGTTTTCAGGGGACGCACACCAACCGTCACACCCCTATGAACAGTTGGATCAACTTGATCCAACAATCCACAAGCCACAACTTTTCAAATTCCCCATCATTAGTGTCCAACGGTTACCAACCCAATGGTTATAACCCTTCACGTTCCCACAATTAATACCCAATGGTTACAAACCTAACGGTTACAACTCCACATTTCTACCCAACTGCCACAACTGAAACATCACATTTATCCTTTGCGTCGTTCACTCCTCAAGGCTGGGGGGCTTGTGTACCGGAAGGGTCCTATCGACCACGTGGACCGACACGTGACGTCCTATCGGCATCGACACAAGGGACATATCCGTCACCTAAAAAGAGATAAGAAATAAGAATAAGAAATGGGCTTAACCTGAAGGCTTGTATCTTTGTATTTTGTCTTCGGCTTGTGGACTGCAATATGACGTAGATAAATTGAACGGTGAGAGTAAGACGCAATCTGGCCAGCTGCGTTTTTTTTTTAATAATAAAAAAAAAAAGATTTAATGTAATTAAGAAAGTTGGTACTTAATTTTTTTTTTCTAAAATAAGTGTTATTTTAATTATTTAATGTATTTTTTTCTTCTAATAATAAGTACTTCATCTGATTCTAAATATAAGAAAAAAAACTTAGGGGGGTGTATTGGTTTAGGATTTCGTAGGATTGTTCGTTCCTTCACCTGATAAGCTTCGTCAACGCTGCAATGGCTTCCTCGTATGTCTCCGCTGCCATTTCCTCCTTCTGCGACGAAGTTAGTTAGTTAGAATCGATGAGAAGACGAGAAAAAAGGGTTTAAAAATTGGGACGTGATGGATAACATGTACATGCAGATGTAGGAAATTGAATTGGCGGAAAGAGAGATGTGAATTGGATTATAATAATAAGATGGCGTGAATCTGGAAAGAGAAAGGGAATAGTTGTAGTACAAACCTTTTGTTTTGTTTTGTTTTGTTTTGTTTTGGTTGTTATGATGAAGAGAGTGAGAGGTTGTGTTTGTGAATTGTGATAGAGGTGAAGGAAAATGGCGAGGTTGGAGTTTGAGTTATATTAATGATGGATGAGTGTTGTTTCACGCGCTTCAAGAGCGATGGAGAGTCACCAAGGGGACCAGAAAACTCACGTAATACCACAAGTTTTTTTTAAACCATTTAATATAAATTTTATTAATATACATTTAATATATTATTAAAATAAAATTTTAATTTTAATTAGAGAATAACATTGACTATGTAAAGAACTAAAAGTAAGTTAGTTAATAATGTACAATCACTTTCGATCACTTCACAGAAAATATCTAATTTTATTAAATATAAATAAAAATAATATCTAATTTATTAAATATGATACAAAGGTGAAAATATTATATATTTACTTGTCTTATCTTCAACTTCTATATGCTTTAAATTTATATAAATTTATTTTATTTTATTTTTAAAAAATTTATTTAATATTTATATGATTCACATTTTTTCAAACAAAAATTAAAGCATGAATTAAGTAATTACAATCAATTATAAATTCAAATTATTTAGTTGTAATCTTAATTTTATCTTAACCTTAATAATACTAAATATAGGATAGTCTTTCATCCTATTTTCCTGTCCCATCTTAAAAATATTTTTTTTAAACCAAAAAATAAGACATACGTTAAATAATTACAACTAATTATAAATTCAAATCATTTAATTATATATAATATAAATCCATAATGAAAATGATTCATTAGCAATAATTTTGCTATAAACATTATAAATTCTAATTCTTGAATAATTGACATATTAAAGTCACTCACAAAAATTAAAACATGCGTTAAATAATCACAACCAATGATAAATTTAAATCATTTAGCCATAAACATTATAAATTCATGCATGGGGCAACAATTTTTCCTAACAAAACTTGCACTTAGTTGTTATCCATCCTCCTAATTTATTTTCCTTTTCAACTTTTTGAACTCGGGTATCTTTTTTGTCCATGTGTCATCTTTATGTGTTTAATATGTAATATGTTAAGCATATTAAAGATTATTATTTAAATTGGTATTATTTTAATTTTACTATTTCACTTTGTTATCTAAAATTATCTAACATTTTCATTTAAAACTATCGACATAAAAGAATTATATAGATCTAAGGTGAGGTGGAGGAGAATCTATTTTTTTATTTAAGTTTGCAAATGACTTTTAAATAAACAGTGAATCGAACAGGTAAAACAATTAGTAATTTGTAATAATTTAATATAAAACATAAAACATCAAACCTAAACTATACTAATATTGTATTGTAATCTTGCTAAATA